CCCTAGGGCTAGCACTGACGCAAGCACGTTGGTTATCCATCGATACGTAGCAGTCCGAGCATCTAAAGCCCTACTGATATGTGATTCGGACCTATTCCTACGTCAACATGATGTTGACTAAATGTTGATGCCGCGCAGCTGGTCGATGGCCAGCGGGAGCATGGAGGTGATGTTGACGTTCACCATGAAGAACGCGTCGACGCGGCGGTACTGGTTGCAGTACGCGTGCGGCCACTTGCAGTGGTCCGTGCCGGGCTGCCACTCCGCGAGCGCGTCCGGGTTGCCGAACTGCGCCTTGAGATAACCGACATGGTGATCAGTTGGGACAATAGGAGGAAGAGGATGATCAGTTGCCTGGCCATGGAGATGGAACATTCGGTACTGTACATCCAATCGTTTGAGGTGTCTCATAAAGCACGGTGACCAGCTGATGAAACAGACCGGCAGTGGCAGCAGTGGCGGATATAAGCCTAGGGCCACTATGGCCACGGCCCAGACGTTGGGCCGGTTTCTCTACACTGTAGCGCACTGTTCCAAAGAGGTCCAATTAATCTACCAAAATGAGCCTATGGAGTAGCCCCAGGCGTTGGGCCAGCCCAGCTCCGCCACTGAGTGGCAGTGCATATATAGTACAAAGGTAGAGGCGTTGAGGTCAAGTAGTAGGCGTTGACTAATCTTGATTCTTAAGGTAAACCACGTTCTGGTCAAGGTTTCATGAGTCGTTTGATGCAGCTACAAGAAAAAGGAGCGTGGTGGGTAAGTTTCCTGCCATTTACTAGCTTGTACAGCCAGTGGGGAGGGTGTGTGTCGCTCGGTTAAAAAAATAGTTTTTGCATGGTGTCATGCAGATGTCCCCGTAAACATACATGCTAACATAGACTAGCTAGAACTAGGCAGTAGAACTTCACGGAGAAAAGGGAGGGGGCAGGAGCCCAATTTGGCCTCCATGAGGCTCTACCCCTGTGTACAGGTAATAGTGGTTTGGAGGTATCTTTTAATTACACCATATATTGATTCAGCGCTTCTTTTTCCAGATTACAGTAGAGACTCAAATGCTCGTATACACATATACATACTCAACCCTATAAACAGATCCAAGCACATCCTATTTCTATTAGCACGTCTTAAAGACTGAGCTGACAGATTTCGAGAATGACCTGAGGTTCCATATCTCAACGTCATTGGAGTACTTATCTATCTTGCAAATTGCACCTGACCCGATATCACATTTGCAGTAAATTTAGTGTTGCTCCAACCAAACGTTTATTGCACGGGAGCTAAACATATCTTAAGATATCTCAATGGCACAAAAGATCTTGATTATTTTTCAAAAGAAACCAAGATCCAACTATGATTGGATACACTGATGGTAGCTATTTATATGATCCTCATAATGACTGATCTTAGACGGGCTTTATATTTTTATATGGAGAAACTGGCATTTCATGGAAGTCTTCTAAACAGACTCTAGTGACAACCTCTACAGATCATTCTAAAATTGTTGCACTATATGATGCATCACATGAATGTGTATGGCTTCGCAGAATGATTAATCACATACAACAATCTAGTAGAATTGGTCCCATTGAATCACCCACAATTATCTATGACGATAATGTTGCTTGTGTTACATAAATTCAAACATGTTACATCAAAAGTAATATAACTAAACATATTTATCCCAAGTTGTTCTATCCTCATGAATTACAACAGAGAGGGGAAATCAACATCTTGCAGACACAGTCTTGTGATAATCTTGCAGATTTATTCACTAAGTCACTACCACGTACAACGTTCCAAATATTTGTTCATGGTATTGGTATGCAGGGACTTCAAGAGTTGCAAGTTTTAGGGGGGAGACACTCTTTGAATATAATAATCTATGTTAAGCATTATATTGCACTTTTTTCCTATTATGAGTTTTTATAAAATTTTCTCTGATGTTTTTAATGAAGCAATATCAAATTCATAATGTGACATATCTCCTATTTTCCTCATATGAGGTTTTTAAAGGGAATATCAATGACATTATTTCTCCTCATATTTTTCCCATGGGGTTTTTGAGGAGGTTATACTAATTATGGCACATACGATAATATTGTTCTAAACTAAATTATGGGTTTTTCCTATAAAGGTTTTCTCATATAAGTTTACAATGGACAATAATCTAAAATATGTCATATCATTTCTCTAGATTTTTTTCCAATAGGTTTTGAGGAGTTTAATGAACAGGCTGACCTCAATGTGTGGAAAAGGCGGTTCAAAAAGGAGCTTGGCCAAGTGTACTAAGGCCAAACTGACTATAGAGTCATCCCTCGCAGTTGGAGAGATAGTTACATGTTATAGCTTCCTTTTTCCTTTTGGGCATGGGTGCCTTGTAATCCCTCCGTCCTATTGAAAGTGTTGTTTTTGACTTTTAGACTTTTTGTTTGACCGTTCATCTTATTCAAAATTTTTATGCAACTAATAAATAAATAAATCATTATTAAAGTACCTCTAATGATAAAATAAGTCATAACAAAATAAATAATATTTGTACAAAAACTTTAATAAGACAAATGGTCAACCAAGAAGTATAAAGTAAAAAACGACACTTTCAATGGGATGGGGGGAGTACTTTTATTTGTCTTTCCACCTTGTAAATACCATTCTTTCATTTAATGAAAAAGAAAAAAAATAGGTAGGGGACTCCCCTGCTGATTCAGTCAAAAAAATGAAGTTTAATGACATCAACAACATTATCACCTTGTTTTTTTTTTCCCTATAAGGGTTTTTAGGGATAAAACTATTGATTAATCTCAAGACCTGATTCGATCAAGGGGGAATGCTAAGAACCAATGACGTTCAAGTGATCTCATCACACGGATCGCCAGGGTGGATCTCATCAATTGAATGAGATGGAAGAACTGCAGGATCGATGACATGATTAGTAGTGGATCAGTGATTAGGATTAGTATCAAGCGTCCATCTAATCGAACGTTTCTTGTACACCGCTGTAAAGCACTGGCATTGCCAATCGACAGGTCCGTTCGCGATCGATGCCTCCGAACGGACACCGTCCGATCCATGGGCCACGGTTCAACATGTATAAATATACGAGATCAATCAATGAGAGATGGCAGTTCAATCATTCTCTTTCTTTCTATTACAACCACGTTTAAACAAGCACGACACTTTGAGACTTACAAGGTGTTTGGTTTGAGGAATGGATTAGTTCATCTTCTTACTCCTTTTTTGTTTATGTAATGGAATAAATTCATCTATCGTCATCTCATTATCAATACGAGGAATGGAGTCATTTTACAAAATTGAAGAATGAACTCATGATACTATCACTTTATCTAGAATAGAGTGATTTCTCATACCAAACACTAGTTATTGTGAGTACATGCACGAGACGCGAGTGTACATACAGTACATAATTTATCTGTAGGCGACTAGGCGATGATGTCAACTGGGGCTGATCTTGAAGGCAACCAAAAGTTTGGTCAGTCGCTAAATTGATGCTGCCACGAGAAAGAAGAACGTGGCTATTCATGCACCCATGCAGCGACTTAGGCGCGGTTGACTGTTTGGCCGGGCTCCACCCGCGCTGCTTCTTCGCCGGAGCCACGGAGCTGCAAAACTCCACCTCCCTACGTCAAAAAGGGTTCCGGCTCCTCTGTCCGTGGCGCAGAAACGCTCTTTCCGTGGTCATTTGGTACGGCTCCGCTGCCGGAGTTGCCGCGGAGCCGAGGCCGGAGCGCGGCCAAGCACATTATCCTCGTAACCATCTTAGCTTCAGCTACATCCTTTCGTGGCACGATGATGCTACGTGTGCTTCAGACCGTGGGTGGCATACCTGTCTATATGTATGATTTCGAATTCAGAAACACCCTGCTACGTGGTACCCTACGAAACTGCAGCAAAAGAAACACATACCCCTTGAGGCCAGTTTCAGCCTGTTCGCTTGTTCATATCTGGCTTATAAGCCATGGCTTATTAGTCAACGAATAGTATTTTTCTCTCACATCAAATTAGCCAACAGTACTTTCAGCCATGGCTTATAAGCCAAACCAGTCCAAACGATCATGGCGTTTATCGTTTGGGCAACAATGTACTGCCGCGGGTCTTCGTCTTCCCATCTATCACTTCCACAGGTAGCTCTGGTCATAGCTCCTGTCATACGGCTTATGACTTTTGACTCATCTTTATCAGTTTGGCCATTACACTCTGCCTTTGAATCTCACAAAGTCTTCAGCAAGAGATCGCAACTGCGCTGGCTCCTTCTGCGAAAAAAAACGACAGTGCAGGGAACGAAAACTGCAATAATTATGTTCAAATGAAAATTGATATACGAATACAGCATCTCTTCGGCTCTACTATATTGGAGATTGATCAGGAAAAAAAAAATGATATGATAATTTAGTTATTTAGTGCCTTCCGTCTGTTTTTTTTTTTTCTGGAGAGTTGACTTCACTCTTGCCACCCCTTTTCACAAATCATGTAGGCACTTGATCCGTGTGTTTAATGGACAGGCAGGCAATTGCCTGCCGAGGTTGCAAAATAAAATAAAATTCTGTAGTAGACTCGGCACAAAATCTTCTCCATATTTGGATTGTATCCAGAAGCTAAATTTTTCTCCATATTTGGATGTATCCAGAAGCTAAAATTTTCTCCATATTTGGATTCATCCAGAAGCTAAGCATTCATCATAAATCAGCCTGTTCGCTTGCTCGTAAACGATCGTAAATTTCCAGCCGGGAACAGTGTTTTTCTCTCACACCAAACCAGCCAGCAGTAAATAATCCACGATACGATACGGCCTCCCGAACAGGCTGTGAGTCAATTTTGCCAGCTATTCTATAACGACCTTTGGACTAATTTTCAACAATTTTTTTAGTGTACCAATTCGATGCAAAGAAACCAAACAACTTTGACTGTCTGCAAAATCCTCTGCGGTTCATCTGTTCTGTGTTTCATTTCCACAGTCTATGGCCTAACATCCAATCTCCAGCTCCATGGTAATTAGTACATATGGGGACACCCCATTGCGTGATCTGAAAATATCCTCCTCTGCACATAAAACTGCTGTTAGGAACAACCAATGAAAGATCAATAGTGCATATACTCTTCCTCCTACTTTTGCTACTTCCCCATTCATACACTGCTCAGCACAATATTAGCTTGGGATCTACTCTAAATCCTGAGGGCCCAAACAGATCATGGCTCTCACCCTCTGGCGACTTTGCCTTTGGTTTCCAGCCCCTGGAGACCAACTCCTCTCTCTATCTACTTGCCATCTGGTTCGATCAGATTGATGAGAAGTTTACTGTTTGGTATGCCAATTGTACCACAGCAGTGTCACCTGGTTCAAGCCTGCAATTTACCCTCAATGGTACGCTTTGTCTCCGTGACTCCACTGGATCTGAGATCTGGGGCTCCCAGATTGCTGGCGGTGCTTATGCTTCCATGAACGACAATGGAAACTTTGTGGTTTATGGAGCAGACGGCTCCCCCACATGGCAAAGTTTTACTACACCAACAGACACCATCCTGCCATCCCAAGAGCTCGTTAGTGGGACTATCCTCCACGCTAGGCTTATGGACACCGACTGCTCAAATGGTTGGTTCATCCTCAGTCTTGAAACAAATGGCAACCTGACTTTCTACACAGTGGCTGTTCCTACGGGATTCCAGTATGATAGTTATTGGTCTACTAACACAAGTGGAAATGGTGGGAAGCTGGTCTATGATACGAATGGCACAATCTACTATGCCTTGGAGAACATGCAGCACCCTACCATTGACATATTGCCAGCAGAGATGGACTCAACAGATCAGTACTACCATTGGGCAAAACTTGACCCAGATGGTGTTCTTTGACAGTATAAGTATCCAAAAAGGGAAGCAGTAAGAAGTGGTTTGCCTGCAGAGTGGACAGTAGTGCAAGCTGTGCCGGCAAATATCTGCAACGTAGTATATTCAGATTTTGGTAGTGGAGTGTGTGGATACAACAGCTATTGCATGTTCAACTGGAATCAGACAGAAACAGAATGTTCTTGTGCCCCGCACTATTCTTTCTTTGATACGGAAAGGAAGTACAAAGGGTGCAAGCCAGACTTTGCACTGCAGAGCTGTGACTTGAGTGAAGCACAAGTGCTAGAGCAGTTCCAAATGATTCCAATGAATAACATTGACTGGCCTCTTCGGGCTTATGAGTAGTACTACCCCATAAACGAGACTACTTGCCAAAGCTTATGCTTGAATGATTGCTTCTGTGCTGCTGCAGTGTTTGATAATAGTGGCCACTGCTGGAAGAAGAAGCTACCTTTGTCTAACGGGAATGAAGGGAGCGAAGTTCAAAGGACAGTTTATCTCAAGGTGCCGAAGGATAATCATTCACAGACTCTACTGAATATTGAGGTCAGCACTAAATGGAAAACCAATAGGAAGGATTGGATACTTGGAGGATCGATCATTATAGGTAGTTCTGTCTTTCTGAACTTTCTCTTCATCTCAGCCCATTTTCTGGGAGCTCGCTTTAGGGCCACCAGGGAAAAGAACCATTTACGAGCATGGACCAGGATGATGACAAGAGATTTCACTTACAGAGAGCTTGAGGAGGCAACTAATGGGTTCAACGAGGAAGTGGGCAGGGGAACTTCTGGTATAGTCTATAAAGGGTACCTACATGGTGAGTTTGACACCAGCATCGCAGTCAAGAAGATCATCCATAGGATCCCACAAGAGACAGAAAAGGAGTTCACAATGGAGGTTCAAACAATTGGGCACACACTCCACAAGAACTTAGTCCAGCTATTGGGATTCTGCTATGAAGGATCTGAAAGCCTGGTGTATCCGTTCATGCCCAATGGCTGTCTTACTAAGTTCCTCTTTAGTGGCAAGAGGCCATCATGGGACCTCCGAGTTGATATTGCCCATGGGGTGGCAAGAGGACTGCTCTACTTGCATGAGGAGTGTGGTAAGCGGATCATACACTGTGACATAAAGCCTGAGAACATCCTTCTTGATGACAACTTTATAGCAAAGATATCAGACTTTGGCATAGCGAAGCTGCTGAAAGCCGAGCAGACAAAAACTAGCACTGGAATCCGAGGTACCCGAGGATACTTTGCTCCAGAGTGGTTCAAGAACGTGAGAATCTCCAGTAAAGTAGATGTGTACAGCTTTGGTATAGTCCTTCTGGAGTATGCTGCAGGCGGAATGTAGACCTTCAGGCCACCGATGACGAGCAAGTTGTATTGGCATACTGGGCATATAACTGCTACCGTTGCAGCCGCCTTGACTTGTTAGTTGAAAGTGATGAGGAAGCAATTATCAATATGAATATGGTGGAAAGATTCATGAGAGTTGAACTTTGGTGTATACAGGATGAACCAGAAATGCGCCCAACTATGCTTAAAGTGACCAAGATGCTTGATGGAGCAATAGAAGTTCCTCGGCCTCCATTTGATACCCCAATTTTCATAAGTTTATGGCATTGAGAAGAGCAAGTGGTACTTTTTTCTGTTTAGGGATCTATCTTTTGGTCAGACTATGCTGTTGAAGGATTTATGGTAGTGGTCGTATGTGGCAGAACCGTCCGAAATAACACATTTTCGGAGGCGCTTGTCTTCCACTAGACACTAAACACCCCGAAGTGGCTAAACCGAACAGCTCCGTCGAGCCCACCCCAAGGGAGTACTCGAAAATCCATATTTTCTGTCAGGATCATAAATGAGAGGATAAAACTTACAACACACTTAGCCATTTCTTACATCACTTTATTACAACATCAGACTACTTGGACCAGTCGAATGCAACAGCGAAATTAAAACAGTTTACATGTAAACGAGTTTATACATTTCAGGTTCACAAGTTTTATCTTGCAGCAGAAAATAAACATATGATCAGAGTTACAGCGGAAACAAAGATTAATTTACTGACCTAGTGAAGCATTAACATAATTGCCATTTATTTATAAGATATGCTAACAGATTTTATATCTTTTCTTATAAAACATTTAGTGAGGGTTATAAGTGAACACTACAATCGCAACGTGAAAGAAATCTTCTCTGAGCCCACCAGGAGGTTTTCACACACAAGGGCCAGCTCTAGTATTCACTTTGTCACCTGCAACCAGGGGTGACAAAAACCCTGAGTACTCGATTGTACTCAATAAGACTTACCCGACAGGAGAAAAGTAAAAGACTCCGAGGATATGCAAGGCCTATTTGACTTGCTGATTTATTGCATTTGTAGGAAGCATTACTAATAGTGCATCCTTATATTCAAAGTTTTAGCAGCTATTTTTAGTTAATTAGCTAACCATTCTATGTAAGCATCTATGCTACTTTCAAACATGTGGTAAGCAATCAGAACAATTTTATCACCTTCCATGTTCCAATTCTTATTACGGTGCTAGACCATAGCCAAGTCGTTACCGTCTCACAGAAACGACGATTCGCGAATCAATGTATCCCAGCTGGGGGCTCCGAAACACACGTCCCGCTTGTACCACAGGCACAAACGAGACCAACCCACTCCACTCCTGTCGAGGGTCTAGGTCCCCGTCCAAACTTGGACTTCAAACCCCCACACTTGAGACCCGGTCTCAGTGTGGTGCTTAGACCTCCACCTTTTCCCGACCCCAATCAGTCGGTCCGGAAAGAGCCGGAACCCACGATAAGAGCGCAACAAGTCTTCCCGCTCTCATAAGCAAGTATGTGCCGATGATAATAAGTCTATGACCTGACTACCATCCACAGTTACTGACGGTCCTCAATCGACACAAGCGGGACAAATACAACCGGAACCTCGCTCGGCTACCTAACCAAGTCCAAATCCAAATCCAAAGCACAGTCCACCTGGTCTCTAATTATCATTCATATATATATTCCATGTGATAGTTATATGGTAATAAGAATAATCATTTCTTTTCTATCTCACTTCTACCGAAATACTTTAGCATAGCAATCTACACGATTCTGACATACTAGTAGGACTCATAGGATAAGGATATATATATGCAAGTGGGTTTCATTTAACTCCTTAAAACTTAATGCACAAGCATAAGGTAAAGTGCAGAATAATAGAGGTTGTGCACCGGGGCTTGCCTAGGTAAGATATAACCAAAAGTTAGCATTCCATCATGGCAACACGATCACCAAGGCACCATCTTTTCTGCTACTCCAGATGACTCCGAAATCTATCATTGTTCCTATTATATACGTGGATGCAACGCAGAGGCATAATTAATCAACGGCAACCGTTACTCTTAAAAATACGATTACGCCTCACAAGCTAACGAGCTAACTCTAACAACTAATGTACTAAGCTACGTATCCACGTTGTCGAGTAAGGCGTCGTTTCCCGAAAAATGTTCTAGTTTTACAATCCCATGGTGTTTTGGCATTTTATCGATTAAACTTATATATATTTGAACCGGAACTCATTTAGCTACCTTAGCAAACTAATTATTGTGGAGCTCCAAAAATTACCGTGAGCACCTAATAATGTTAGGAGTTTACTGTAAAAGTTTCAGAGCCAACACTATCACCACTTTATCACAACAATTCCTACAAGTTTATATTTTAACAATATTAAGCACCTAAAATTAATTAGATCACTCTTGAAAATACTTATGAAGCTAGGTGAACCAATTATACTAGTAGATAGATCATAATTTTAGGAACCTAACAAATTTAGTTTCACAATTTTTGGTTCACTACACAAATTTATATTGAATTTATAATTTTACCTTAACAACTAAATTAGAAAACGCTTTAGAAAAAGAAAAAGGCCGGTGGCAACTAATTCGGCCCAAAAGCCCAGAACGGGGTGCGACTGCGCGTGCGTTGCGACGGCCCAGCACGGCCCAAGGCCGGGAGGCCCACGCGCGGTGGCGGTTTTGCAGAAATGCCCCCGAGCTTTTAGATATTACTACAACTACTATGCGCACTATTCTTACCGACATCGGTTTTGCAAACAAGTCCCCGAACTCTCCCGTCTTCACAACGGGGTGGTCCCCGATGCCACCGCGCGCGACGACGCGGCGACCGTCGGCAAACGGTAGTTACGCCGGCCACCAGCAAGGGTCTCCGGTGACCTATGATGGCCGAGCATCTAAGTTACGACGGCGCGCTCCTAGAGACGACGGCTAGAGACCTGGAGAGGCACTGCAGCATAGCCAACCACGGCGGCGGCTGGGTCTACGCGTTTCGCGTCGGCGGCGAAGCCGTTTCGACGAACCTAACGACTCATGAGACGATAAAGGTTGCGGGGAAGCAGAAAGGGCTTACCACGATGTTCGCCAATTTACTATCGACAATAATTATTCTGTGGAGTTTGACCCCGCTGGTTGTTCTGTGAAGGTTCTTCCATCCCGGACCGAGATCGTCAGGTGCAACAGCTTCGGGCCGCTATACCCCCTGCGCCTACCTCCTGCTCATTCCCTTGTCGCCCAGGACTCCTCCCCGCTGTGGCACCGGCGACTTGGCCACCCCAGCCATGAGGCGTTGTCCAAACTTGCGTCCAGCACCTCGCGTCATATTAGTGATTGTTCAGATTTGTGTCATGCTTGTCAGTTAGGGCGTCATGTTCGATTGCCCTTTTATTCGTCCACCTCTCGTGCGTCTAGCAAGTTCGATCTTATTCACTGTGATATGTGGACCTCTCCGGTTGTCAGTGTTTCTGGTTATAAATATTACTTGGTTATACTTGATGACTGCACTCATTACTTGTGGACATTTCCTCTGTGACTCAAATCGACACTTTCAAAGACGCTGCCTAGTTCCTCGCCCACGTCTCCACTCAGTTTGACACACGTGTCAAATTTGTCCAGTGCGACAATGGGAAAGAGTTCGACAATTCGAGCACTCACCACTTCTTCCTTGCTCAGGGCATTCATCTTCGCATGTCCTGCCCCTACACCTCGCCTCAGAATGGTAAAGCTAAACGCATTATTCATACCATTAATAATGTTGTTCGCTCACTGCTCTTTCAGGCATCCATGCCTTCCTCCTATTGGGTGGAGGCCCTCTCCACTGCCACTGTCCTCCTCAACATATTTCCTACCAAGACTCTCCAGTTCTCTATGCCTCACTTTGCACTATTCGCAAAGCTGCCTACGTATGATCATCTTCGGGTCTTTGGTTGCAAGTGTTACCCCAACCTGTCTGCCACCGCTCCTCATAAACTCGCTCCTAGGTCTCGCTCTATGTGTCTTTTTAGGCTACTCACCCACCATAAAGGATACCGCGCCTGACCTCTCCAAAGAACAGAGTTATCATCTCCGAGCACGTCATCTTCGATGAAATGACCTTTCCCTTTGCTGAGCGTCACGGCCCCAGCAATCCAGCGGAACTCGAGTTTCTTGATTTTACTGATGATGTTGTGCCAGTTCCTATTGGACCCTCGCACACGTTGTTTCCTGCAGGCATGTCTCCCAGCACCTTCGATGTTCCTGCTGCCCCTATCGGTCCTCGTGTGGCCGAGCTTGGGGCACTTCCTGGTGACACCAAAGGCCCCTACCAAATTCTTCGTGGGATCGTGCTCGGGCGCCCGAGGCTGCTGACAATGTCCCGGTGCCGGTGCTCTACATCCCGTCTGCGCTCCGGTCACCGGCGACCCCCTCCGCGCCACGCGCAGCGGCTTACGGCAGCGCCAGAAGCCCTCCGCGCCCACGCGCGTCCCCGACGCGGCAACTCCCTCCCGCCACGCGCGCCCCAAAGATCGCCAGTGCATCTGGCAAGACGTCCCATGGCTGCTTATGCCAGACGTCCTACAGCAGCTTGCCTTGACTCGACGTCCCTCGCGCGAGTCCGCAGGGTTTCCCGCACCTCCTCAGGCGCCCCACGGGCCTCCACCGGGATTTCCACCGCTTCACTCGGCCCACGACTTCACATACCATTACTCGCATCGCCCGCGACCTCCACCGGTCGTCCCAGCGGCTCCTGCACCAGTTCCTACAGCAGCAGCCCTGCTGCCGGTGGCCTCTTCATCGGTCCCTACAACAGCCGCCCACGCCCAAGGGCGCGTTCTTTGTCCCTCCGGTGGCCAACCAAAGACTCTATGGGCACCCGTTCAAGAGCGGCTTTTGGATGCTCGCGCCTACCATGTTGTGCCACTCTTTCCGGTGCCGAAGACCTTCCGTAGCGCTCTTGCTGATACCAATTGGCGAGCGGCTATGGAGGAAGAACACAGTGCTCTCCTGTAGAACCACACCTGGG